ATTGTCTTCATCGATGATATACTCATTTACTCGAGATCGGAGGCGGATCACGAGGAGCATCTACGGATAGCGTTGAGGACTCTTCAGGAGCATCAGTTGTATGCCAAGTTCAGCAAATGTGAATTTTGGCTTTCAGAAGTCAGATTCCTTGGCCACATCATCAGCAGAGAGGGCATAACAGTGGACCCGGCTAAGGTCACGGCAGTTCTTGATTGGGAGCCACCGAAGACGGTGATAGAGATTCGTAGCTTTTTGGGTTTAGCTGGATATTATAGGAAGTTCATTCAGGACTTTTCGAAGATTGCAACGCCTATTACACACCTTACGAAGATGGGTGTGCAGTTCATGTGGAGCATGGAGTGCCAGAAGGCCTTTGATATTTTGAAGGCTAAGTTGACTACAGCGCCGGTTTTAACTATTCCGAGCGGTGACAGGACATTCGTCGTATATACAGATGCATCGTTGGCAGGCTTAGGAAGCGTATTGATGCAGACTCAGAGGGTAGTAGCTTATATCTCACGGCAGTTGAGGGTGCATGAGCAGAACTATTCCACTCATGATTTGGAGTTGGCACCAGTGGTATTTGCACTGAAGTCTTGGAGGCACTACTTATATGGGGTGCAGTTTGAGTTATTCACAGACCATCAGAGTCTGAAGTACCTCTTTTTCCAGAAGGAACTCAACCAGAGACAGAGGAGGTGGGTTGAGTTTATCAAGGACTACGAGTTCGCGATTCAGTATCATCCGGGAAAGGCGAACGTCGTAGCAGATGCCTTAAGCAGGAAGCGTCGACATCGGATTTCGGCTTTGAGGTGTTCACTACATCGGGATCTTATCACTCTTAGCCAGTTTGATTTTAGACCCGAGATTGGAGGCACCAGTGCATTTTTAGGAGCTGTGACAGTGCAGCCATCTTGGAGTGACAGAGTTGTCAGAGTTCAGTTGGGAGACTCTTGGATTCAAATCCGAAAGGAGGAGATTTCCAAAGAGCCTAAGACTGATTGGATCATTAGAGCTGATGGAGGTCTACGGATGAAGGGTAGATTAGTTGTGCTAGCCAGTGCAGAGCTGAAGAGAGAGTTATTTGATGAGGCACACCGTACTCGGTACACAGTGCATCCATGGACCACCAAGATGTACAAGGACTTGAAGAGACATTTCTGGTGGAGCGGTATGCGTAGAGAGGTTGCAGACTATGTGGCTAGATGTTTTACCTGTCAGCAGGTGCGAAGTCGAAGAAGGGGAATGATTCTGTTTGGGTGATAGTGGACCGGTTGACGAAGTCAGCACATTTCATTCCGGTGAGGACCACTTATACAGCCGAGGCTTATGCGAGGATATTTATCCGGGAGATAGTTCGACTTCATGGAGTTCCAGACACGATCGTATCGGATCGAGGATCGGTTTTCACCTCGCATTTTTGGAGGAGTTTTCAGGACTCATTTGGCAGCACGCTATCTTATAGCAGTGTATTTCACCCCCAGACGGATGGCCAGACGGAGAGGGTGAATCAGGTGTTGGAGGACATGTTGCGGGCATGTGTCATTGACTTCCAGGGTAGTTGGGAGGATCATATTCCACTGGTAGAGTTTGCTTATAACAATAGTTATCAAGCGACGATCGGTATGGCCCCGTATGAAGCATTGTATGGGAGACCTTGTAGATCACCGATATGTTGGGCCGAGCCGGAGGATAGCTTGATGCTTGGGCCCGAGTTGGTGAGGCAGACTACCGAGAAGGTAGCATTGATCAGGGAGCAGATTCTAGCCGCTCAGAGTAAGCAGAAGAGTTATGCAGATAAGAGGTGAAGACCCTTGGAGTTTCAGGTGGGAGACTCAGTCATGCTGAAGGTATCGCCTATGAAAGGCGTACAGCGATTTGGGCGATGGGGGAAGCTTGCGCCGAGATACATTGGACCATTTCAGATTCTGGAGCGTGTTGGAGTTGTGTCATACAGACTAGATCTTCCAGCATCGATGTCTAGTATACACAATGTATTTCATGTTTCTATGCTCAAGAAACACTTGCATGATGAGGAGAACCAGCGAGTAGTGGATGCACCAGAGATTGAGCTTCAGGCGATGGTGTGAAAACACTTCCTGATGTCGAATTCCAAAAACCAGCGAGAGGTTCCCCACTCTTCTTTGATCCGTCTTAGGACTACTATTGAGATCCCGGTTTGTATACTTGCCAGGGAGGACAAGAGACTCAGGAATAAGGTGATTCCCTTAGTGAAAGTTCAGTGGAACCGAGGAGGCATTGAGGAGATTTCTTGGGAGCGCGAAGAGGACATGCGTCGCGACTACCCACACTTGGTTGAGCAGGTAAATAAATTCTTATTATGTTATATATCTTACTTTATGTTTATATCTTTGGTTATGTTTACATTTAACGCTAGAATGAAGATATTTTCGCTTAATTTTTAATCTTTTGGAACACATGGTATATGTATGGGGGGGTTCCTTGTTTGGATTTTTCGCCCGATGTACTAGTTCCACTAGATTAGGATTTGAGCGAGAATATTATCATTTTAGATCGTTAAGTATAAATATCTCTATATATCATCTAATAACTCATATTTCGAGATTTGTATAATTTCCGAATTTTGAGGACGAAATTCTTTTGAAGGGGGAAAGAATGTAAAACCCCGAAATTTGCTATAATAAATATATGTGAATTATTAATAGTGAATAATTCTCTTATGATAAATAATTATATATATACATATATATATCAGATGAACGTAATTATCTGTGTTGAGACCCCATCAAATGTTTCTATGTGAGAGAAATCGAGTGAAATGACCAGCATGTTAAATGCCTAGCAGCAGGCATTTTTCTGCTGCGCGGTCGACCGTGGCGGTCGACCGCGTCGGTCGACCGCACAGCGATCAGAGAGTTTTCAGGTTTGGGCTTTTTACGGATTTTTGTTTTGGTCTTATCGGGTTTTGGGTCGGGTTAGGGGATTAGTATACATACTAATCCAACCCAGGAGAGCCTCTCTTCATCTGAGACCTAAAACCCTAGCCCCCATCTCTCTCCTCTCTAAACCCTAGCTGGATCTGGCGATTTTGAGAAGTTCGGAGGATTTTCAGGGGGTTTTCGCAGGTTAGATCGAAGGAGGATCATCTTCAGGGCTTTTGTCAGCATCTAAGGCGAGTATCATCTCGCCCAATCCCTTACCCCTATTTTCTATGGTTTTCTTTTGATTTTTATGAGTTTTTGATGAGCCCAAATGGTATTTTCGTATAAAAATTGAGTTCTCTATAATATGGATTACAAAAATCAATGGTTTTAGTTTATAAAAGTTCACCAACGTTCTGTTTAATAAAGATCTAGATCTGAAATTTGCCTAAACAAGAGTTGAATCATTTTTACTGTTATCAAAACATTTTTAACATGTTTCTCTTGTATTTTAAAATTTGGGAATGTAGTATACATGCTAAAAAAATTCATTGTTTTTCTACTGTATGAATTTAGAATTTTGTATCGTAGAAATCAAGTTTTTATTACAGGTTTAGCAGCTGACAGAAGACCCAGATTTGGGTTTCTGTCTGCTTGGCGGTCGACCACGGCGGTCGACCGCTGGGCTCGCTGTAGGGACAGAAATAGCCTGCAGTCGACCGCACCGGTCGACAGCGACGTTCTGCTCGGTCGACCGAGACTCGTATCAGAGTGGGGCCCCCGGGGGGGGTCGCCCGCCGCACTGTCTGTTGCAAAATTTCTGTTTTGTGTATTTTGAGTATTTTACTCATGTTCGAGAGTTTGCCTGGATTATCTGACTTTGGTATTTAGTCTCACTATGTATCCATGCATGATAGATGACCTGAGGGTATAAATTGGGGACTTATACACTGATTTGAGTGTGGATTGATATAACTAGATTTCACTATATATATCACAGCGATATTTTCACTATTTCACAGTCCTCGTGTTGGACTATAATCCATAGAAGTCATCGTGGTGGGCTATAATCCATTTCAGTCCTCGTGTTGGACATTTGTCACTTATTCTATGAGTTTGGAAACTACAATATATAGTTCCTGTTTCGGACATAGTTCTTAACCCTGCATATGACCTTCTCACAGAAGTTCATGACATGATAACTATGTAGATTTTGACATGACACTTGTGTAGATTTTAACATGATATTCAGGTAGGCTATGATATGGCACTGCACTTATGTTCTGAGATTAGTGTATTTCTTTTATTATTATTCTTGTACTAGAACCTCGGGTTTGGTAATTAGGGGTTTACAATTTGAGATATAAGGTATATACATGAGAGTTTCCTTGTTTGGATTTTTTCGCTCGACGTACCTATTCTCGTGTTGTAAATTTCTAAATACTAAAACCCTCTTTAGTAAGATCAATGATTTTAGATCTATTATGTATTATCTGTATTTTCTTATACAACGAGCCATGTTCCCTTGGGGTTGGTTGTGATGTTACTCGCTAGCGCTTTGACGCTCGTTGTCCCTCCCCCTTTCAGGTAACGAGCCAGGAGCCCGGAGAGTTGCAGGTTGATGGCGATGCATTTTAGCTTTAGCTGTCTAGTTAGTTATATATTTTCTTTTGGAGTTCTACAGTAGACTTGTGTTTAGACATTTGAGAGTCTTGTTCTAGAAGTTGTAAAGGCTGTGTACCTTATTTCCTTCTTGTCAGATATTTGTATTTGAGACTTGTTGAGTATTTCAGTTTATCTACTCAGATCTTGACTATGTGCTTCTGTTTGTTGGATGATGAGACATTAAGTTGATTATTATCATTTCATCAGTCTTCTTGTATTATCTTTTACTTGCTTTTGTACCTACACCTGTTGTTGACTCTACTAGATAGATGTTAATTGTGATGGTGAAACATGTTGTTGCACGGTGTGGTGCATGGCAGGTTTGACATTCTTGGTTTCACCTTGGACTGCAGCCTTGTGTGAATCCAGGGGCGTCACAATCATTATGCCCTATTGTTTGTATGTTCTTTGCCACCTTCCTACAAGCATTTCATGGATTCTTTGATTTACGGTCGAGATTCTATTGGTATTAAGGACGTCAAAGAGAACTTATTGAATAAGGAGAAGATTGACAAAGAGTTAACCATAAGTGAAAATGGTGATAAAGCTGATGGCTTGTTTGTTCGAGGAAGATCGAAAGAAAAGGGTTTTGGAGGTAACAGGTATAAGTCGAAGTACAGGAATCTGACCTGTAGATATTGTAAGAATAAATGGCACATCAAGACCGATTATTACAGATTGAAGAACAAAAATAAACAAGAGTAGTTTGAAGAAAAATCAAAGGAGGACTCCGCTGAAGTTGATATTGCTAAAGATGTGATTTTGTTGGCTACAAATGATATAAACATGAGCATGGATGATTGAATTTTGGATTCGGATTGTTCCTATTATATGTGTCCTAATCAGGACTGGTTCATCACTTATGAAGCTATTGGATGGTGGAGTTGTTCTTATATGGAACAACGCCTCATGCAAGACTGTTGGGAAAGGAACAATTCGGATTAAGATGCATGATGGAGTCATCAGGACTTTGACATATGTTAGGCATATTTCAGGTTTAAGGAAGAATCTCATCTCTTTGGGCACTCTTGATAGCATTTGGTGTAATTTTTCAGGTAAAGGTGAAGTTCTTAGGGTTACAAAAGGCTCTCTTGTGGTTATGAAAGGAAAAAAAGATCGACAACTTGTATGTTTTGCAGGGTTCTACCGTTACCGCCTCGGCTGTAGTTGCATCGTCGATATAAGGAGTTGATAGTACCAGATTATGGCATATGACACTTGGTCATGTGAGTGAGCGCGGATTGACCGAGTTGAGTAAGAAGGGTCTTTTATGTGGATAGAGTACATAAAAATTAGAATCTTTATGTGGATAGAGTACATGAAAATTAGGATTCTACGAGCATTACATCTTTAGAAAGCAGAAAAGAGTCAGTTTTAAGACGACAATGCATCAGACTAAAGGTACTTTGGATTATATCAATTCAGATTTTTGGAGACCTTCTTAAGTTACCTCGAGGGGTGGTAGTTCCAGATATTTGTTGATGTTCATTGATGACTACTCCATGAAGGTTTGGGTCTACTTTTTGAAACATAAATATAAGGTGTTTGTGACTTTCAATCAGTGGAAGTCTTTGATTGAGAAACAGATTGGGAGGCTGATTAAGAGGCTTAGAACTGATAATGACATTGAGCTTTGTGGAGAAGAATTTAATGAGTTCTGCAAGAAGGAGGGAATCGTTAGACATCGTACAATCCCTCACACACCACAACAGAATGGAGAGGCAGAACATATGAACAGAACTCTATTAGAAAAAGCACGTTGTATGATGTTCAATGTAGATTTAGGTAAGAAATACTGGGCGGAAGCAGTGAATACGACTTGTTACTAGTGAACCAGTCGTCATCTACTGCTATTAGTAGTAAAACTCTAGAAGAGGTTTGGTCCGGTAAGCTTGTGGATTATTCTAATCTTAGAATATTTAGTTGCCCTGCATATGTGCATGTTAGTCAAGGGAAACTTGAGCCGCGAGCGAAGAAGTGCATATTCCTAGGTTATACATCGGGTGTTAAGGGTTTTAGGTTGTGATGTCCTAATCCAAAGTTTCCTAAGATTATTATTAGCCGTGATGTTACTTTTGATGAATCTGCTATGTTCCATCAGAAACGGCCATCGGTTTTAGTTGTTAATAAGGCGCGCACTACAGGACATAAGGTGGAGTTAGAAATTCGTGATTCAGCTCTTGAACAGGATAAGACTACGGGAGTTTAGCAGCCATACCCCATTCAAGTAGATAAAGCACATTATCAGCTGCAGGAAGAGTGAGATACACTATTGCTAGAGATCGGTCTAGACGAGATATCTGACCACCACAAAGATATGAAGATACGGTAGCTTATGCATTGTTGGTTGACAATTTTGTGCCCTTCAGCTATTCAAGAGTTGCTTCAGGTGATGACTTCGCTAATACTTATGGTCGTTGTGCGTACAATTCAGTCAATTTGTTGAGGAGACCTCTTTCAGGTGGCAAGTTCAAGCCGGGCTTGGACTTGATCGATACGTGTCGCACTTAGATGCCCTACGGGGCTATTAGAGAAGGTGGAGTAAGTTAGCTTATTTTGGAGTGATGAATCTTCTACGCATTTGAGTCAATGTGGAGATTTGTTATAGGTTGCCTCAAATACTCAAATCCATATTGTTTTGGGAGTTCCTTTTTTTAGCTTGGTTTGTTTTGAACAAGAGTTCTACTTACATTAGACGTTGCACAACCAATCATATTGGAGATTTATTCTTACTTGGACTCTTGTTGGGTTTTAGGACATGCGGACTTTTATTCCTATTAGAACTATTATTCCTTAGACAGCAATGAGTTGGGATCTTCAATGCTATATAAAATTAGTCTTTCTAGCCAATTATATGCATTAATCTTTAGAGCACCAATAAAAAAGAGAGAGTTCTTTTTTGAAGCTTATTTGATATTCTTCTCTTTTGTTCCTTTTATTTAGAGAGATTGTACGGGAATTTTGAGGTGTTCTTTGGGATTGAGAGATTGAGAGATTCCACTTTGTATTCCTCACAATTAGTAAAGTTTTCTCTTCTTTCGCTCGTGGACATAGGCTACAAGCCGAACCACGTATATCTTTGTGTTCGTGTGTTCTTGTTATTTTTCGTGCTCTCGTGTGATTGATATTAGCTTATCCTGAGGAATTTGTCATAACAATCATTCTGTTATTGGATTTTCCGCTGCATTGCTCCCATTGGCTCTCGTTAAAAAAGTGAAGTGTTTTAAACCTATAAACAGTGTGAAATATAAAATGAGGCCATTCAAGTGAGCAATTCGAGTCCTAAATCTATTTTATTGACAGTATGATAAGAAAGCTTGAAAATAATATATGGCGCTCAATGTTAGTTGTAATAACAATTTCGTAAGGATGCAAAGTAGAAGAACCTTTTCCCCATAACAATTATCAAATACTAAACACGCTTCTTCAGAGATTAGGAATCTTTTTGCAAATAAACAAATCAAAGGGGTGGAAAACGAGGACAAGACCCTCCTGGGTACAGCTGCTCCTGACCCTTCAGTCAGACTGCCGCTCCTCGGTTTCTGATTGGAGGCAGCAGCAGCAGATTTGACATTTTGACCCGAATTTTCCAATGCATCCCCTTTTTCTCTGTCCTCCATTTGAAATTATCACTTTTTTTTTTTATAAAAATGCAAATGAAATGGGTGCCTCCTCTGTTTCTGAGATTTGAATTCTACTCTCGATAGCTGCACGTGCGGGCGAGAAAGTGACGTCCTGGTTAGGTCTCACTCCCTTTCGGGTGGTGGGTCCTGCTTTGGTCGATTCAAACTGAACCGGGTCTGACTATTCTTCGATAGGAATATTGTTCTTTGGTTTATTACAGGATCAGGACATTTAGACGAAGTTGGATATACGTAAATACTTCTGGATAAAATTCTAAAGCTTTAAACATGAACTTTTGTCCCGATTAGAGCTCTTGACTAAAACCAGTCAGGAAAAAAAGTGAAAATATTTGTGGAAAGAAAAATTCACATGTCTTTTGTATGATTATTACTTTCTGTTAATTTATTAGTTAACGGGAATTGAGTCGAGATTTTCCAATAGCCAACTTCTGGAAATATTTTCGATTTTTAATTAAGGACTTGTTTGGATAATTGAAGTATTGGAGGTAAAAAGTAGGTTATAGAAGTAACTTTCAAAACTATGAAATAGGAAGAAGTAGAAATAACACTTTTTTTGTTTGTTTAATATATTTTAAGAAGTAATGGAAGTAAAATATCTTCCTCTTCATTTTTTGTTTTGTTTGGATAACATTTGGAAATATCTCTAGGAAGTAATTAACACATGTTACTTCCACAATTTCAAAGCCACGTCACGCTCTTTAATTTGATCTAGCACGTTACAACCAGTTTCATGCCGCTATGACCCATTCGCTACTTGAGAGTAAGAAGAATCATTCAACCACATAGCTTTAAAATGAAATTTCCACTCTCCTGTCTTCTTTGGACGAACTTGTGCACCACGAACAATTGGAATATGATCTGAGCGAGAGCATGATTTGTGAAAACCCAGGTAGGCTTTGGTAAAATAGTTCAACCAAGCACTATTTCTGAAAAAACGGTCAAGTCCTTCATGTAAAAATGACACCACTACTCCTCTTCCCAAACCATGTACATGTATTACCATTAAATCCAAGGTCAGAAAATCACGATCATTCAAAAGTTGTTAGAACTAATAAAGGAAATATTAATAAAGAAATTATTTATTTCCTAATTAATATATATTTCAACTACTTCCGAGCTACTTCTGAGTATTGAGGATTGTAAAAATATTTTGAAAGTAAAGATGACACGTAGGCACCACATCAACGTTTAAGGAAGTATTTGAAGTAAGTTTTTCAAAGAATCATGCTGTGCGCAGCGAAAATTTCGGCAGAGTTTCTGGTGCACAATAAGAGAGAAAGATCAATAAGAATTCTCGTCTCACCAAGGAAACAAGAATTTGAAGCGAATATCTCAACAAAGTAAGATATCGGCTCTTCCTCTGATCAGTTCTAGGACTGACTTGTCGAGGGATCCTAAAAACTATTACAATGGCCACAAACTCAAAACAAACGATTTTTACGTAATTCGGTAAACTGCCTACGTCCACGGGGCAATGAGGGGGGGGGGGGGGGGGGGTTTTGTTCTAGGGTTTACAATCACTCAATCTAAACCCTCACACAATCTCTCAAACCTCTCACATAATTATCTCTCTCAAAAGGGATACACAAATCATAGAACAGCTGCAAAAGGACTTTGCTTTTCTCTGTGAATAGCCGCCAAAGTCTCTGCCTTGCACCTTCTTTGCACTCTGCCCAATCAAATTCGTTTCTCCCCCTGCTGCACACCTTTTGCACAGCCGCCTAAGTCTTGCACCTTTTCTTCTGCAGCCGCCAAAAGACTCTCTGCACACCCTCAATTGCACACGGACCTAGGGAGAAATCGCTGAGGTATTTATAGGATGGCTTCTTTCGGGTGGGCCTGTGCAAAGCCAGTGCGAAAAATGAGAAACACCTCTCGTTCACGTGCTCTCGCTGGTGGTCCCCACCCCGAAATCAAATCCTATCTCTTCACGTCTCTTGATCTTCACATATCTTCACATATCTTCACGTCTCATGATCATAGGTTCGCTGCTAACGAAGTCAAGTCGAGTGGTGGCCCCCACTCACGTGACTTCAACCATTCACAATTCTCCACCTCGGCGAAGTTTTTCCAAAACTGAGCCGACATCAACCAAAATAAATGTCTCACTTGTTGCATCCAGTACGAAGTGAAACGATTCACGACAACCGACTCAATCCACAACAAGTCGAGACCCAAACGGGAGTGCGAACACTCTCCCAAACGTCGGTATCTACTCACGAAATCGGCTGTATCATAAAGACTGCCTACGTATCCTCTTGCCCAAGGAATCAAGCCTTCACGTAGTTCACCCAAATGGCTGCGAACGACCTCAATCAAATAGAAGAGTTCGCAACCCTTCTCTAATATCATCAACTCTGCGGCTGATAGCACCTCCAATGGCCTCAAAGTGTAACGAATCAAACACCTCCACTTGAGGTGAACCAATGCCATATCCAAACTACATCTATCAGCTACACTCGAATCAAAATCTAACTCATCATCTGCATCCAAAACCAAATGATCTCCAAACTGTGTCACCTCAGCTGGAATCCCAAACGATGTAGTATGATCTGGAGTATGTGGAGTAATCTTCACTCAATGTGAAATAGCATCAATCTCCACCTGCTGCGATACAACTAAGGTCTGTCCAAAACTCTCCATCTGCTGAGAGTCATTAGCTTCCTCATCGAAGCCTCATCCAAAGTGACACAATCAGACCTATTTTCCAATAGAGTTTTACATCCAATCATAGCAGTTGACAACTCTTTAATAGGATGACTCAAATATATCGAAGCCTCAGTCCAGAACCTCTTCTATAAACTATTGCTCGACCACAAACACCGATCCTCCTCCAGCAAGGCACGGTTCTCCAAATTTGCCACCCTCTGGTTGCCCCAAGATTTCCTTTCTAATGAAGTGTCTCAAAATGCCGTGAGCTCGGCTCCAATACAGAAATAAGTCCATCTTGTACCTCCCATTAAAATCAGAATGAAGTACCTTCATATTTCTGTCCATCTTACACTTCTTCAAACTATTAGAGACTACTAGGACTTTATCCATAGGAGATTTGGTTGTAACCCAAACACGCGTAGAACAGCCACCAACAAAGAAAACCAAACTTCTATTACCTCCCAATGATGCCCCCTTTGAAGGCCTCAAACATCCACGTGAACTCCTCCAGAATGATCCTTAGCATGGTGAAT